CTTGATTTTGGATGACTGCCTATTATTCGAACAAGATATATAGCTTAATGGTGCAGCAAATCCTCAAGAGTTGGAGGTTGTCTAATGGTTCTCTCAAGTTGGGCTAATTAACTTAAATTTGACGAGTTAATTCGAGGTGTAACCTGAGGTTTGCTCAAATGTTTTGAACGGTCAATTAATTTTTAAAAATGACACTTTAATTTTCAAGAGAGGAACTTTAATCTCAAAAACAATAAAATATAGAGCCCGTTTGGTTACCCCGTTTCGATTTTTTGACTTATCAGTCAACTATTTCATCAAACACATAACTTTTGATTTTATGCTCTAAATTGTGTAATAATATGAAAAGCTAAAGTTAGAGTTACTTTTCCTAGTTGGATTGGTTGAAGTTAATGTAGAGAAGCAATTTAGTAATTCTCATACAATTTTATTTTTACTTTATTCATGAAATATAATTTAAGTATTTTTAAAATTGTAAATATTAGTCCATTCAACCACTCCAGCCAAAACTGAATTTGAGTAAATTTGAGTAAATCAACATAACGAGCTCATAATTCATTTAGCTTAGCTTATTGAAGTGTTTTGAACTTCAAAATTAGTAGCGTATTCTTATGGCATCTTATAGATTGAAATGTATGTTTTTTGAAAGGGGTAAAAGTTAATATCAATGTAATTTTTCTAAGAATTTGGGGTCTATATTTGAATATTATCAAAGGAGGGCTTTTAGGCAATATTTTCCCAATGTCATCTCCCAATATTTGGAAAATATTTGGGAAATTAACTTAAATAGGACTAAAAATGTTTTTATATTTCAAAATAGTACTATCATATTTTTATTATCTAATATGAGTAATTATTGTCATATTTTGGCAGTACCAAAACGTTAGACATGACAATATTTTTCAAGATAGATGGACAGTAATCATTGTTATTTATGTAGTAAAAGCACGACAATTCTATTTTAGAAGTATAAAAAATTTTACTTTTATTTTAAGAATTTTCCCTAGTTATTTTTGGGAGGTGATTTACAGCGGCAGGGCAGTTGAATAGAGGTTGAAAAGAGAAAATATGGTGAAAAATGCATAGGGTCTCTGCAAGTACCGGGGACAGAGCCTCACTCTCTATCTGTCAGATTGTGATTATAGTCCAATTTACATCCTCTCATCGTGCCGTCTGGTCGGTGGTGGGGGGCCCTCAGGGATGGGGTGTCATCCTTTTTTTTGAAAAGAGAAAATATGAAAGATATAATTACATTTTTTATGACCAAAAATGTGATTAATGACTAGTGTAGTAATGAAATCATAGTAACTTATGCTCAATTTTTTAACTTAAGTTATTAAAACACTAAATTGTAGTAACTAATAGTCATATTTTTGTAAGTAAGTTTTTTTTAGTAATATTAAAGTACAAAATCTAATATTAAATTTATTCAATTAAGTATTTAATGATTAGTCGCATTTTTCAGAAAACACAAAAACAACCCACATTTTCAAAAAAGATAAAACAACTCGCATTATTTGTCTTTCGAAGTCTATCAAAGAGCTGATGACTTCAATCTGGAAACCAGGGAAATGTATGTCTATCAAACAGATTGGCGAGCGAAGGTATTCGCTAAATTTTAACCATTTTTTGGATATGAACCATGTGATTGAGGATGGCCCTTGACTTTTTGAGCGTGATTTAATTCTGTTGAAAGTGATTCAGCCAGATGATATACCTGAATCGATGAATTTATTTGAGGCTAGCTTTTGGGTACAGGTTCATAATGCCCCTATAAAATATAGAAATTTGAGATCTACCAGGAAAATTGGTAATTTTTTAGGATCTTTCATTTAGAATGAGATGAGCCAGTTTGACGGAAAGCAGAGTTCTTACCTTCGCATTAGGGTGTGTCTGGATGTGCGCCAACCTTTGAAGAAAGGTACCACTTTGACACAAGATGGGGTGAAGCATTGGGTTGGTTTTAAATACGAAAAGCTCCATAGCTTTTGTTTTATTTGCGGTATAATCAGACATTCTGATAAATTTTGTCCAATGAAGTATGAAGAGGGATTTGTAGCTGAAAAAACCTATGGGGTGGGACTTAGAGCAGGAGGAAGGGCGAAGACTAGCCCGACAGGAGACAATAAATGGTTATCTAATGGAGCCTCTAGCTCATATGGGTATGGAGTGCAGCGGAAGGCTGATCTCGGGGGAGAATTTTCGGCAGAGTCCAAGTTTAGTAGGCCAGCACAGAATGAAAAGGAGGACAAGGAGGAGACTCCTGGAGATACAAAACGCAGAAGAATATGGGATAATCAGTCCAAAGAGGATATCGTTGGTGAAGGAATGGCTCTGGAGGGGTCAAAAAATGGGGAAGCGGCGGGTCAAGGCTCTTAGACCCGCCGTGTTTTCATATGCTGGTGGTGGTGAAGAATTCAAGTGATGGTGTTAGTTTTATTGTCTGTTTTGTTTACTTTTATTTCAGATGTTATGTTCTATTTTCTTTTCGTGTTCTGGTTTCTTGTAAGACTCTTGCATTAGGTTTGGGGGAGGGAAAGTCTGCTTTAACCGTCATTGGATTTAAGTTGCCCAATTTTGTTCTAGCGAGTTATACTGCTTTTTTTACAGGTGGTTAACTCTCAGTCTCGGCCACGGGCGGATGGTTATATGTGGTTCTTTTATAGTTTTGTACCCTTGTTGAATGCTATTTCTATGAATTAAGCCCTCTTCGAGCAAAAAAAAGTACATAAGTCATATTCAATTACTTTGTGCGGCATTTATTTTTATTTTATTTATAGATGTTGTGGGCATTTAAAATTGAAATAATTACATTAATATGACCAAAATAAAGATGGTTTACAAAAATATGATTAGTTACTAGAGTAGTAATGAAAACATAGTAATTCATGTTCAAGTTTCGAACTTAAGTTACTACAACACTACGTTGTAGTAATGAGTAGTCATATTTATGTAAATAAGTTTTATTTTAATAATATTGTTATAAAAAACCCTTTAAAATTACTGAACTAGTTGTGTTTTTTATTGAGACTCTTCTAAATGCTACCAGGTTATAATAATTCTTTGGGAACAAGGATGGCTGTGTCAAGCCCGATACATGGTTAGTGATTCGTGTTGCTCTTTCAGAGGTGACCGTCTCCAAATCTGACCATAGGGTTTACAGTCGTAGTTATTGGAGTTTAGCTGGTGTCAGTTTTGTTTTCCCTTTGATTGATGTAATGATCCTGAAACTTGTGATATGAAAAGAGACTAATTTCGTTCAAAAAAAACTTTGGGCATCTTTTATAAGTTGGCCAAATTAAAATTTCACAAGTTTTTATTTATTTAATTTTTTATTAATTCCATTGCTAATTTTTTATGAATTATTCTTCACAAAAGTTTATTAGTTAGGAAATTAAATAATATTTAATTATTAAAAATAATAAAAGTAATAAAAATCATGACAATATAGGTTATTGATTGATAATTTTCAATCATTCGAGTCTTACCAACATATTTCATCTTTCTTATCACGGATTGATAGCTAATCAATCTTTAGATCCTGGATTAATAAAATTTCATTTAAATTCTGTGATTAGATTAATTTGAATTTTTTAAAGTTTCCAATTAATTTAATTATGAAATTGAGTTTTTTAAAACATTGAGTCAGTCCTATTAAATTTCTCTATTTTCAAGCTAAATATTTAATAGTGACCCAATTTGAAAGAGGCATAATTCAACTAATGAAAATGGCAATGAATTGTTCAAAAAATTGTCCATGTACATGAGAAATAGATAGGACACTTATTAATAAATCGTTCAGATACATTCAACAAGAGTTAATTTTTCAAGCTACAAATGTACAGAGTAACGGGAAATCAAATTTCATTCCCATTTTGAATCCCTAATGCAGATGAAACTTCATGTCAGGCCGGCCTGACGGGCTGCCCCGTCCAGCCGAGCCCGTTTGGGCACCTTCCCGGTGGAATTTTTTGATGAAATTTTTTGAGCATGTTCCTCATCAAGTCTAGTTTGTCCATACCAAATTTCAGCTCAAAATTCGATCGGTAAGGTCGTCAAATGATTTTTGCAAGTTAACTGGTCCGGAAAATACATATTCCAGACCAGTTAAGTTGCAAAAATCATTTGACGACCTTACCGATCGAATTTTGAGCTGAAATTTGGTATGGACAAACTAGACTTGATGAGGAACATGCTCAAAAAATTTCATCAAAAAATTCCACCGGGAAGGTGCCCAAACGGGCTCGGCCGGACGGGGCATCCCGTCAGGCCGGCCTGATGAGAAGAGCACTCCCCTAATGCATATTTCATCCTTGTTCTATGTGTTTGGTCCCGTTTATGATAAATGGACCACAAACTTTTTCCAGAAAAGATGCTCTAAATTTTTTCCAGAAGCTCTCGGGAAAAAATCCAAAAATAACTTTTTAAGAGCATGCATACAATTTGTCAAGCTTTTGTCCGTACCAGATAAAATATCACACTTAATTTGGAGCTTTGCTTGACTTCTTTTTATAAGAAATACCCCTTTCGTTCTTTATTAATTGTCCTCTTAGACTTTGGTACGGGCTTTAAGAGAAAAATAACATGATTAGTGTAAAATGTGTAATGAGTTGCGCCTAAATGGAAAAGTAGGAAAGGGAAAGGGGTAAAGGTGATAAAAGTGGGGATATAAATGTATATTGATTGAAAAAACATACCAAACAAGAAAAGAGAGACAACTAATTAAAAATGTCCCAAAAAGGAACACAAATAAAGAACGGGGAGGGAGTATTGTTTAGAGAAAAGGGGCAAATAAGCCCTTAAACTAGTTGGTATTTTGCAATTAAGCCCTGGAACCAGTTGACCCTACAACTAAATACTCCAACCTGTAAAAATGATTCAATTAGCCCCTCTTTACCGGTTCGTTCCCGTCCCTAATCGGTAAGGTGGTAGTTTGCGCTGACGTGGCTGGTAGGTCAGCTTTTAATGTCTCATTTACATGTGACATGTACTTTAGTCAGCTTTATTCCCTCTATTTTTTTTCCTCTTTTTTTCATTCGTCCTTATCTCTTTCTCTTCATCGATCTTCTGCCTCAGCTCACAACCTACTGTTCATTGACTTCACTCTGAAATTTTTTTCTTTTCCTTATCGTCTTCCCCTACTTCTTCACTCGTTTGTTCTTTAGAGTTTCTAGAGTGGAAACCGCAAGCTAGGAAAATGGATTTTGCAAACCGCGCTCATTATTCGACAAGTACGTCGAGTACTTCGCAAAGTCCTACAAGAAGAACAACCCTAAACTACGATCCCCCGTTCTACTGTCGATGCGGCCTTAAAGCTCCTGTTTTTGTTTCACGCGACAGCGGTAGGAAATTCCTAGGATGCCAAAATTGGCCGGTAAAGGTTTAATTTTTATATAATTCCAGTAGGTATTCCTATTACCTTTATAAATTATTATGCATGTAATATTTTGAATATATTTGTGACCTTTATGTAGGATGGTGGGTGTAAGTATTTTGTATGGCATGATGAAATGAATTTGATTATTCAAGAGCCGAAGGTTATTGATAGAGAAGAGGCACAATTGTGGTTCCCAGATGTGAATGTTCAGTTGCAGCGGATGAAGGACATAATTTCTGATTTTAGAGAAGAACTCCATGCTTCCCATAGTGAAATAGCTAGGCTTAGGACCCAACTGGAAAATCTTGTTAAAGGAGAACATTTGAAGTGGTCTGTTATAGGGTTGTTCATGGTGATTCTTGTAATGGGCATATGTACAATTACAGGCTTTAATGTGTACTAAGTTATGAGCATTGGTTTGGAGCTTGTACTTTAAGTTGTTTTTCTGGACATATGACCCTTCTACTGATTTGTTAGTAATGTTAAATGTATTCTGGAAAGGTGTGAAATGCTATGGTATTTTTTAATATTTAATGATATAGTTATTTCTTTTGACAGCGAGGTATAGTAATGCTATTATTTGATGAACCTTAGTTAAAGAGACTTGCTATTGTTTTACATAGTCATGATAAGAAGTATAAGTCTCTTGACAGTACACCATGGTTTGCCTCCAGTTGATTTGTAATGGTTATGAGTGTTATAAGTGTCCACCCTCTGTTGCAGCATCAGGTTGTGTATCTATGGCCTTTATGTTCAACAAATTTAGCTTCACAAATGGTTTCTAGATTCTTAATTTGGGAAAATTTAATTGATCACCATCATTAAACCCTGCACACATATAGTAACACATCTTGAAAGCATACTTCCATTAAAGTATACACACAAAGAGTTACTATTTAAGCTTAAAACCATTCTTTCAGTAAGATATTTCACTCCCCATAGACATTGTAAATAAATTCAGGAATTTCAGGAATGTTAAAAAGTAACAGGTCCATTATGATGGTTGTTCATTTCAGCAATTGGATCCTACCTTGCTTGTGTAAGACACAATCCTCCTATATGTTGGTTTATCAAAATTTGTTAATTGGAACCAGAACTACTTCTTACCAACAAGAAGGGTCTGGTTTAATGAAATACCAAACATTTACGGTTTAAAAAAAGTAGGCATATAATGGCATGCTATACAAAATTATAGAATTATGGGTTTGCCAATACTTGAATATCATACTGCTAACAAAATATATAGCTGTAACAATGCACAACACTTGAACTACTCTGTTTTTCATTTCAAGTACCACAATTAACAAACCATTGGATAGCAAAAATAGCATAATATCTCCAAAATAATGCTACCAAATATACATTGGATAGCAAAAATAGCATAATATCTCCAAATTAATGCTGCCAAATATACATTCAAATACGAATCCGGAAACTAGGCAGCTCATTACAAGTTTGATGTTCTGACAAATTACATAGCAAAACACAACGGCGAAACAGCGTACTCTTAACAACTACTACTCCCTAATAAAAGCAACTCCATAAGCTAGTTTGTAGCTTCAATGATAACTTCACCAGATTGACCAGGCTGCACAAAAAAGATCAACAACACATGTGTAAGCCATCAAATTCATACTATTTCACACAAAAAAATCTAGTTTTAACTAATACTACACTTTCTTACATTCAAATATGTTGCACAAGTGTTTGGATCACTGTAAACGCCAAATCCTGCCTCCCTTGGTCCTTTTTTTGTGGTCTCTGATAGCTGTTATATTTACTTGTGTTTAACATAAGTATTTATAAGTATTTGTTGAAGAAAGGAAGAGAAATCGGACAAATACCTTCAGAATGAGAGCTAGAGCATAAAACATTGCGATGAACGACTTTTTAGACCAAGAGAATGACGTTCTGCCCATAATTTGAGTATAACGTATTCTATAGAACTCGAAATCACTCGATTCGAGTTTCATGTGAATGCTAACTCAATAAGGAACAAATGTTATGAAGACGTCATGGCCAAAATATGAAAGGAACAAGACTCAATCAACCAACAAAGTCAGATGTTGCTGGTGGGATTTCAGGATGCATACCTCTCAGTGTTTTAGCCATAACGTTTGATTGGATGAATAAAATCACGTCATTCAAGTTTTGGTGGATAGAAGACTTCATTATCTACAACTTTGGTGAAGGAATCATGTCCAAATTCGTAGCGGAACATCCCCAAAATCCCGGGACAAAAACCGACACTTTTTGATCAATTTCGGAAGAAGAGAAAGGAAGCGCATTTTTGGGCGCTGCAACCGGCGCCGGTCAGCCTATAACCGGCGCCGGTTGGAAGGTTTTTTCGCACTTAACGAGCCTGTTTGCGACCGGGGCCGGTTCTAGACTGACCGGGGCCGGTTGGGACGATTTCAGCTCAAACAAAAGGTCGTGCAAGAGGATTTTTGATGGGAAAACTTCACCTTCCTCATCTCTTGATCAAATATTGCTCCATACCTGATTGTTGGGCTCGAATAGACTAAAAGATGTCATTCTTTAGCCTATATAAAGCCTTCAATTCATCAAGCAAACACATTCCATTCCATAGATTAATTCTTAGCTTTTATATTTTTGTTCTTGGTATTTTCTTCAAGTTCTTGAGGAGGAAACTTCAACCTCCGAAACCATTGGTGTTTAGGTATTATTTCCTTTGTAATTTCATGTTCCATTACATTTCATATTGTATTGTGATTAATATGAGCATTAGAGGCTAATTTCTTAGCTAAGGCTAGGGATGAACCTCTATGCACACTAGGTGTTTGATAAAAGTTCTAAACCAATAAATTGTGATTTATCCTTTATATTTTGATTGTTTATGACTATGGTGTACAACATAGAAGTATGTTAAATTTAGTTTATGCTTGCAATTAACGTTGAAGTCTAAACTATGAACATTAAAGGATAAACATATATAGTACCGAGAATAGAAATATATCCGGTCTTATATGATACGGGTGTGATGTCTTGATATTCAACGGGGTTTTCGGTAGATGAATGTAAGCCGTAACGGGACTTACACGTAACGAAAACCACGCTCTCGCTGCCTTAACCGGAGTTGAGAATATATTAGCGACATCGTATTCATGATTATTGGGGAAGAACTATTATTAAACAACTATTAAAGCATTTAGGTGAATCCCGATTGCCTTAGTAATTCTCATTCTTGTTTAAACCAATCTCAAAGAGCAAAGTTCCTGAAAAAAAAATATATCATTTACATTCTTTGCATTCAATATTCGACTTTATAATAACAACCATTTCCCTGTGGATCGACCCGGTATTTACCGGTATTTTATTACTATATCGGCACTTGTATACTTGCAAGTTTAGCCCGATCAAGTTTTTGGCGCCGTTGCCGGGGAAATGGTCTTGTTTTATAAAGTTCACAAACCTCAATTTTGTTCTCACTTTTTCATATAGTAGTGTTAGTTTTTTAAAAAAAAATGTGTGGTCATACTCATAAAAGTTCAAGGATCTAAGTAAAACTTTGGTCCCGAAGTTGAAAGAGTGTGCAAACACAAACAAAAAAAGGAAAAAAAATCCTTCACTAAATGAGATCAAGATGCCCGTTGTTGCCTATAATCCACATTTTCAAGCTAGAGACATAAAGTTCTCTAGAGTGAAGGAAATATCTATCGGTGATGTGCTTGATAGAAGATTCTTGGAGTTTGAACGAACACTGAAAGAAAGCCTACAAACCGCCTTAGGAAACATTCTTCCTACACGAGAGTATGCTATTCAACCCGAGGATATCAATTACATGAACTCCTATGACGAGTGGGAGAATCATGAAGGTAATAACTACTACAACTCTTCTAATCAACAAAAGGGGAACCAAGACAACAATTGGAAACCGCAATGGAGTTCTTCAAACTTTCAGTCCACCATGGAAGAGATGATGACGTTTCTTACCACAAGTATTCAAGCTGAAAATGAAAAACATTATAGTAGAATGGAGGCATCCGTTGAGAATCTCCATTCTCAATTTATCAAACTTGACACCCGAATTGAAAATCAAAACACAATTCTTAATCAAAGGATGGACAACCTCGAGCGAGATACCAAAAGCTCCTTCCACACTCTATAATTGCAGATTGACCAACTTGCTCAACAAGTTACTATAGCAGGAAGTACCATGGTCATCACAATGGAAAGCAAAAGAGGAAAGGAGGTTCCCAAAGTTCTGGAGAGCAAGAAGACCTCAGATGTACACGATGGGACTAGAAATCTATTTGTGGGAGATAAAAATGACATATTTCATGTGTGGAGAGTACAACCCACTTTAGAGAATTTCTTGAAGTCGGAAGCTAATGTTCTCACACCTCCAAATGGTAGAGGAGACCTCTTTTCCATTCAAGAAGTAAACGTCAACAAGAAAGGAGGACATAATCGGGACACGCCAAAAAGGTACATTTTTGACCCGGGTGATACTATTCTCAATATTGAAAATAATAGCTTCGCATCCTCTCCTCCCCCGCAAGATTTTAAAAGAGAGGTCCTACTAGCTAAACACCTCCGGGAATTCAGCTGCACAAAAGAGGTACGTTCGTCCGGCCTATGACGTTAAACTAAGCGCTAATTGGGAGCCAACCCAACAAAAAAACAAAAAAAAAACAAACAAAAAAAAAGCACAAAAAAAAAATCATCTAAACTCAGGTGTCATGCAACTCCTACTCTCACAAGACGGTCCATTCTGCTATTGAAGTTTTCGTCCTCCATTGTATCCAAAAATGTACATTGAGGACAATGTATCTCAAGTGTAGGGGTGCATCTCATGGTTAGTTAAACAAATTTTGTGTGCAAAATATTTTTTTTAGGAAGGTAAAACTTGTGATAATTCTCTTTTTAATGGGTATTTGGTTGAGAAAGTTTTGATTATTCACATAAACTATCATTTTTTTTAGATTTATTACACTACTCTTTACTCTTGAAAACCACCCAAAAAAAACTTGTGACTAGGAACACCACCTTCTTTCATTTCCAAAAAATGGTTTAAGAACATCTCAAATATTCAAGAACCATTTTGGAAAACAAGCCACCCCATATCTCATCAAATAAATTGGGATCATCAAAATGACTTTGAGTAAATACTTGTTGAGAATCCATTCGGATGAAATAAAAAAAAACTCACGGTCTCTTCCAAGAACTTTAACCGATCCATTTCTATACTCAAAAGTCAAATACACAAAAAAAAGCCATCCTACACACTCAAAAAGTCCTAGTCACAATCCACTCATCTACTCTCAAGGGTAAAGTAATTTTTCTAAATCTAATGATAGTTTTGTGTGTCTAATAGAAAAATGTTTTTGGACCGATAACGAAAGAAGAGTTTATATACATTTTTACCTCTCTTAAAATTAAAATTATTTTTGTTCATATATTTTTGTTGAAACTAACCAAGGCATCCAAAGGTGAAGAAATTGCTTGAGGACAAGCAATGTTCAAGTGTGGGGGGATTTGATAGCTGTTATATTTACTTGTGTTTAACATAAGTATTTATAAGTATTTGTTGAAGAAAGGAAGAGAAATCGGACAAATACCTTCAGAATGAGAGCTAGAGCATAAAACATTGCGATGAACGACTTTTTAGACCAAGAGAATGACGTTCTGCCCATAATTTGAGTATAACGTATTCTATAGAACTCGAAATCACTCGATTCGAGTTTCATGTGAATGCTAACTCAATAAGGAACAAATGTTATGAAGACGTCATGGCCAAAATATGAAAGGAACAAGACTCAATCAACCAACAAAGTCAGATGTTGCTGGTGGGATTTCAGGATGCATACCTCTCAGTGTTTTAGCCATAACGTTTGATTGGATGAATAAAATCACGTCATTCAAGTTTTGGTGGATAGAAGACTTCATTATCTACAACTTTGGTGAAGGAATCATGTCCAAATTCGTAGCGGAACATCCCCAAAATCCCGGGACAAAAACCGACACTTTTTGATCAATTTCGGAAGAAGAGAAAGGAAGCGCATTTTTGGGCGCTGCAACCGGCGCCGGTCAGCCTATAACCGGCGCCGGTTGGAAGGTTTTTTCGCACTTAACGAGCCTGTTTGCGACCGGGGCCGGTTCTAGACTGACCGGGGCCGGTTGGGACGATTTCAGCTCAAACAAAAGGTCGTGCAAGAGGATTTTTGATGGGAAAACTTCACCTTCCTCATCTCTTGATCAAATATTGCTCCATACCTGATTGTTGGGCTCGAATAGACTAAAAGATGTCATTCTTTAGCCTATATAAAGCCTTCAATTCATCAAGCAAACACATTCCATTCCATAGATTAATTCTTAGCTTTTATATTTTTGTTCTTGGTATTTTCTTCAAGTTCTTGAGGAGGAAACTTCAACCTCCGAAACCATTGGTGTTTAGGTATTATTTCCTTTGTAATTTCATGTTCCATTACATTTCATATTGTATTGTGATTAATATGAGCATTAGAGGCTAATTTCTTAGCTAAGGCTAGGGATGAACCTCTATGCACACTAGGTGTTTGATAAAAGTTCTAAACCAATAAATTGTGATTTATCCTTTATATTTTGATTGTTTATGACTATGGTGTACAACATAGAAGTATGTTAAATTTAGTTTATGCTTGCAATTAACGTTGAAGTCTAAACTATGAACATTAAAGGATAAACATATATAGTACCGAGAATAGAAATATATCCGGTCTTATATGATACGGGTGTGATGTCTTGATATTCAACGGGGTTTTCGGTAGATGAATGTAAGCCGTAACGGGACTTACACGTAACGAAAACCACGCTCTCGCTGCCTTAACCGGAGTTGAGAATATATTAGCGACATCGTATTCATGATTATTGGGGAAGAACTATTATTAAACAACTATTAAAGCATTTAGGTGAATCCCGATTGCCTTAGTAATTCTCATTCTTGTTTAAACCAATCTCAAAGAGCAAAGTTCCTGAAAAAAAAATATATCATTTACATTCTTTGCATTCAATATTCGACTTTATAATAACAACCATTTCCCTGTGGATCGACCCGGTATTTACCGGTATTTTATTACTATATCGGCACTTGTATACTTGCAAGTTTAGCCCGATCAGTCTCCTTCTTGTTGCGGTTGAAGTGGGTTGTGTAGTGGCGTTTGTAGGGCATTTGACCTTTGAATGTCCTTGAATGTTACACAAAGAACAAGTCATTATTCTGCCTTTCCTCGAAAGTCTTTCCCCGCCTTTTCGAGGAGCCTCTTCTGTTACCTCCCGGACCCTTTTCTTCTTTGTCCTCCCGCTCATCTTTTTTGGGATAGGGGCATGAATGTCTTCTGTTTGAGTGTTGGGCCATAACATTTCTCCATTTATGGGGTTCAGTGTATGAGAATAAGTCTTCAAATACACTTCTTTTGAATAACATTCATCAATGAAGTCTTCTGGCAGCATCCCCTTGTCAAAAATAGCACACAGCGTGTGCGCATGGAATACCAGTTAAATCCCATGACCTACAACTGCAAGTCCTTTTGTCCAACTTCACCGTGAAGTGCATTCTTCCTTTTTTTATTGGGAAAATGTGCAAATAGGCCTATGTACTAACAAAAAAATGTCAAATAAGCCCTTATTTAGGAGACTCTGTCCGGACGTCGTTATTTGGGGTGATTACCGGTGGAATTTTTTGATGAAATTTTTTGAGCATCTTATTCATCAAGTCTAGTTTACTCATACCAAATTTCAGCTAAAACTTCAATTGGGAAGGCATTCAAATGAATTCTTGAAGATAACTGTGCTTCTAACTGTGCAGTTATTTTCAAGAATTCATTTGAATGCCTTCCCAATTGAAGTTTTAGCTGAAATTTGGTATGAGTAAACTAGACTTAATGAATAAGATGCTCAAAAAATTTCATCAAAAAGTTTCACCGGGAACCACCCCAAATGGCGACGGACGGACAGAGCCTCCTAAATAAGGGCTTATTTGACCTTTTTTGGTTAGTACATGGGCCTATTTGCACCTTTTCCCTTTTTTATTTCATACCTATTATCACCATTGAAATCAACCTGTGACACATACAAAGTCATTTCATAGTACTAAATTCACTTTATTAAACTATAACAAATGTTTTTGTTGCGCATAATAATATAGAGAATCTCAATAGTATACTCACATGCCAACCCAGGCTGTGCAAAATGTTTTTCTGAAGTTGTTTAATTATCAAACACCCATGATTACCGCTCCACTTCTTCACACTTGTTCTTTTCTTTGCAATTCTGCGTATTACACCCACTCTAATTGCTTCAAGCATTGGAATGATTGGTTTTTGTCTCACATTAATGAGGGTTGAGTTGAAGGCTTCAGAAAAATTATTATCGATAGCATCACACTTCACCTCTGTTCGAATAAATGCTTTTGACCATAGTGAGGGACTGTATTTCTCCAAATTGTCCTTTGCCCCCGGTCTACCTTTCCTAATGCTTCCATGTTGTACTTGAACTGAGCTTCATTAGTAGACCGAGCACAAGCCCAAAAATGTTTTTTCATCACTTTACCTCTGTGACCCTTACTCCAATTCGCATGGATAGGCCTGGCACAATTCCTCACTTCGGCATATGGAAATAACTCATTGATTCCATTTAGTAGTCCCTACAACAAAGAAAGAAACAAACACTCACAGTCACAGTCAAACATTTTGTCATGGTAATATGTGGTTAAAACCAGTAGCTTCTAAGCATTCTTGTGGCCAAGAAAACCGCATTGGATGTGAAATAATTGCTGCACTTGTAAACTTAGTGGCCTACAAAAAGAGTCATGTTTCGTTTTTTTTTGTCAAAAAAAATCAATCATGACTGAAAAACATGTTTACTATCATACAATTAGTGATAATCTAAACAAACATGTTTTAAAGTGCAAGCATTAGTTATCATCTGTGACATATAATGGTTAGACCTTCAAAGGAAAAAAACACTTCATAAAGAAACAGTAAACAAAAAAAACAAATTAGTAGTCTTATAGTTACCTCTTGCTGATCGCTAATGAAAGTCCAAGCACCAGCATTTCCAATGCCCAAATCATTCTTCAATAGCGTTAAAAACCATCTCCAAGAATCAGTGTTTTCTATCTCCACAACTGCCCACACGATGGGGTACATTTGGTTATTTGCATCCCTACCAACCACGGATAATATCTCACCCTTTAAAGCAGTTTTGATAAAGCACTCATCCAGCCCTATTATCTTTCTACACCCTTCAAGGAAGCCTGCTTTCATAGCGCCAAATCACATATACATTCTTTTGAAAACACAAGGGCCTTGAGGGGTATGCCTCTCTATGAGGATTTTCACAGTGCTTCCGGGATTGGAGTTCAAACATTGTTAGGGATATTTTATGGTGTCCAATCCTGATAAATATCTTTGTATTTGTGTAATTATTTTGTCTAGATATTTTAGCCCATTGGGATCTTTGTTAGCTATTATTAGACTAGCTTTATTAGGAAATGTGTAAAGTGTGCTATTGGGCCCAATCAATAAAGGAGCCCAATCATGCTTAGGTCACATCACACATTCCCTAGGCATATAAATATAGCCTTTAAGGGAATGTGCGAAGAGGCTTTTGAAAGATTATTCACGCGCATATTATTTTAGTCTAGAGAGAGCCGCAACCTTTGTTTCTCGATACCCATATTCTGAAGTTCGAAATCCTTATTTGGTATTGAATCAAAGCTGTTTTCTGCTCTATTCTATATTGTTAGTTTGATTGTTGAATGAAACAGGGACAAACAATTGGTATCAGAGCCGAGCGTGAAATCGATTGAAGAATCTCTGCAATTTCGGATCTACTGTTGACGTTGAAGACAAGCTTCTCGACAATCTAAGTTTATGCGATTGTTTTTGTTTGATAGAGCAGCAATGGACATGAATCTGTGATTTCAGGGCGTTTTCGATCAGAATCTGAGATATAGCAGTCCAGAATTCCGTTTCTGTATTGTTCGGAATTTTTGTTTTTCGCAGGTGGTTCTCGAGCGTTAGGTGCGACAACAGGTTCTCGATAGATTGGTTCTGGACAGGAAGTTCTCGATAGACAGGTTTTCGACAGGAGGTTTCTCGATAAGAGTTCTCGAAGAACAGGTTCTCGATAGGAACGACAGCAAGTTCTCGATAGGGACTTCTGGATAGGAAGTTCTCGACAGCAATTTCTCGATAGGAAGTTTTCGACAGGAAGTTTTCGATAAGCACTTCTCGAAGTACAGGTTCTCGATAGACTGCTTCGCGAAAGAAATTTCTCGAACTGCAGCTTCTCGGGTTGAACTTCTCGAAGCCAATATTGAAAAGCACTTCTCGAGGTTGAGTATCGAAAAGAGTTCTCGAGATTAGGAAGGCAAAGCTTTGAGTAAAAAAAAAAAAAAAAAAAAAAGGAAAGAGGGGCAAAAATTGTCTTTTGAGACCCGCTGAATTCTACGGCTATCGTGTCCGCAGGTCGCCCGCGCAGGGGGGGTGCGAATTTTCGATTTTGAACTGAAAGCCGGAATTCTTGTGTGCGCGAGAGCTCCCCTCTTCTCCTTCACCTTTTAATATTAAAGGAGGAGTGGTTCTTATTTAAAGGCTCAAAAGTTTCCAAGGAGTTTAGGTGTGGGATACTTTAAGAAGTTTACTTTACTCCTTTGCTTGAAAGTGTACACTTTTTCATCTTTCTTTTTCAAGAGCTAATTTGAGCCACTTCAAAGTCCAAAAGTCCAACACCAAAGGTGAACCTTACAACCAAAGCTTCCAAGAGTCAACCTTGAGATTTAAAAAAAAAAAAAAAAAAAAAAAAAAAAAATCTCAAGGTTAAGGCTATTTTTCTCAAGGACCAAGCTACACTTCAAGGTCCGAAAATTTGCAGAAACTTCAATCAACCTCACGTCTACGGTCAACATTCAACAATCAACCATGGATACTTCTGAACCTTCTTGCTCCTGTACTTGCAAAGTCCATTCTTCACAAGAAAAGGACAATATTATTAAGGAGTTAAGAGACAGGTTAGATAACAACTACAAAGTGTTACTTGATACTCTAGACAAGAGACACTCCCTGAAGTTACAACTAGAAAATGAGAAAGAAAGAGTTCAGAAACAAAATTTAGAAGCAGAGAAGCTTACACAGAAAATAACTGAACTAACTAAGAAGGTTAGTGACACAGAACTCGAACGAAATGTTGCGAAAGCAGAAAACGACTTTTTACGTAAACAAAGATGTTCTCTTTTCACAAAAATCAAAGAGTTAGAAGATCTACTGGTCAAAAGAGGACAGACTGAACAAACAATTTTCTTGAACCAAAACAAGGACACTCGTTTTTATAACTCAAAAGAAGGTCTTGGTTTTTCTAACCCCAACAATTTGAAAAAGATTGATTGTCTTCAACTTTACAACATAAAGTACATGGGGTTAGGATTGACCAAGTTGATGGCTTTTACCTATGGAAAGGAAACCGCAGAAGAAGAAGAGGTAAAGCGATCAAATCCTTCTAAAGCCGAAATTCCTTTCAGTTATGACTCTCTAAACAAAAGCTATGAAACAGCCAAACCTGTTTTTTCACACGATGAAGATGTTAGTCCCTATCCTCTTGAGAAGGAAGTTGTGTCAGACCCTGAACCCCTTTCAACCTCAGGTTCAAGTGGAGAAGAACCCTATATCCCTCCACTAATCAGAAAATTTGAAAACTTACACATTTCTTTAGAAAATCAAAGAAAGAGTTTTGAAGAAGAAAGAAAAAGTTTTGAAAGTGAGAGGGAGAGGTTGTTGAGAGAATTGACCATTTTAAAAGAACGTTCCCAATCTGGCACAGCTTCCCAATCATCTAGTGATACTGATTCTTCTCGACAAATTCTGAACAAACCTAACATTTTCAAAAGGCCACCCACTCACTCCACGTCTCCTTTGAAAACAGAAAATGAAGTGAGTAGGAGACTAGAGAGGAAAAGAGAGTGGAGGCTAAAGAGAGCTGAAATAGCTGAAGGGAAGAAGAAAATGAATTTTGTTGAAAATAAGAAGTCTTGTTCTAGTGCTGCTTTTTATTCAAACAAACATAGATTTAGCTCTGTCACACACCATTCTTCTCAGTCTTTTTCTAATGACTCTAGATCTGTGTTTTCTCATTCTATAGCTGAGGTTAGAAAGCCTGAGAAACCTAAGCAAAAGGCTAAGGTTGTCAAACCTCATTGTGATGCGAATGATGGCAAATCGGAAAAGAAAAGATTTGAAGCTTCAACCTATACTGTTTGTGATGGTGTTTGTCTGACTTATCCCCTCAAAGTTTATTCAGCTAAACACCTGAAACGGTTATCAAGGGAGAAAATCTTTACTTCTCGGAAATCTGTTCCATCATTCACCAGCGCTGAAAATTCTCATACACCGGCAATAACTCAAAAATGGGTTCCTAAATCAGAATCCCAGTCATATAGCTCTCAAAAAGATTCAAAAGAGACTGGTTTAGGAACTAAAATAAAACAAAAATTTCAAAATTTCTTTTGTGCTAAAAGGGATGGACCCACCCTGAAATGGGTACCAAAGGTTTCTTAACCTTTTGCAGGTCCGTCATGTGTGGAAACTGAACCGATTGCTCCACACGCATGGCGGGTATGAAAACGAGATGTGAGCAATCAATAGGTGCACATTATGAAGGGGAGTATTGGCGTGTATACTCCTCACTGAGATGAAAAATCAACAAATGCACACCTCAACACCAACACATGCCAAGAACAAACAACAAGTGCTTATTCTGAGGCGGGTGTTTCTTTTTCACTCCTCCTGGTGCCAAACAACGAAGAAAGCACATTCCAAGGGGGAGTTCTCTACTTTACTCCCCGGGTGACAAACAACACCTTGCACATTCTGAGGGGGAGTTACAATTTTCTCCTCATGATACCAATCAAGGATCAATGCAAGACAACTTAAGCATGTCATGGCAGAACTAGCAGCAATGAAGACCGTCTACGGGATCCAGAACTGATACCCCATCAAGGAGAACAACTCGAAGTTGGACCCAAAGGTCTTGTCTTGTCTTACGTGATCGTGACCACTCTGAAGGACCACACACTATGACAAACCATGAGCGAATTTGCTAAAGTCCCTCAGGTGTATCTCCAACAATTTTGGGCAACATTTGACAAGGACACTGATGATGATGACAACGAGATAGATGACATGCTGACCGCCACTATCAAGGACACTAAGGTCACGATTACCAAAGAGATGATGCACCAGGTATTGCAAATCTTATAAGAGGATGCATATTATGAGTTGGGCACTGAGGAAGACATCATGGAGGACATGATCACACTGGGTCATGCACAAGCGATCAAGCTCATCTCCCAGGTCAAACCCGGAAGACTACCACAGCCACGGAGGACTCTGATGGCTACACTAAACAAGTGCTGCACTGCCAAACACACCGACTTCGATAAAGTGCAACATCTATCTTTTGACCATGGCGTGGCATTCAAAAAAAAAAACTACAACTTTGTCTCGCTGATCTGGGACAACATTCTTGAGCTGATTAGATAGACGAAAAGGACAAACCTGATCAAACATTTACCATATATGAGATGGTTATCAGTGCTAGCGTGACGTTTCTGCAGAACAACTCCAACTATTCACCGACGACTATTCACTGAGAACGTCAGCACTCCTGCCCTTAAATATCTCAAGAAGAAGATGACTGAGGATCCTACACTGGTACTTCTCACTATACCAGTTCCACTTCTGCAGTTAGCTGATCCTAATGACCCATCTATCCGACGCTACTGCCAAAAGAACAATATCATACTCCCTATGGCTCAGATAAACCCTCCTGAGCCTACCCCAGGGAGTCAGTCGAGCGCAAGTGAGGGTCCTGAGAGTTGAACCCAGCCACATAGACCAGTGGCAGTCTGGCCCCATGATGATCAGACTATGTCTGCTGAGGGCCACCTCCGAGTTGCTGAGGAGACTACCTATGACTCGTCTAGCGCAGCCAGACTACAAAACGCTGACGATGAGGGCTCCGGGAGCAAGGCTGGAAAGAGCGACAACGAAAAGAGTGATGAGGACGACGAGGATGAAGATGACAACGCAAGGAAAGCCAGGAAAGCTCCTGTACAAAAATGTTGATTCAATATCAAGCTTCCTACGGCTGCAGATGAAGGGGAGTCTTACTTGAGAAAGAATACTCAAGGACAGATTACCAGTGAGACTCGCTCTAAACAACATCATGATGTCCTCTCCTCATCACTCACTCCTACACAAAGAGTGCAAGCATCAAGAAGCCTAGCTGAAGAAACCTAGATGTTACAAACCGGGCTAACCCCATAGGCACAGAGACTGATCTTTTCAGTCTCCGGGTAGAAGACGCAACATCCAGCCCAACTGCGCATACACAAGCCTCTCCTAGCCGCTCTGCTACCTCCCAATAGGTAGTAGTTTCAATATCAGGGAATCTCATACCCACCTCTCCGCCCCCTTTCGGAGCGGCCGAGGATATATATAGTGACCATCAGCCCCAGGTCACTACCCCTCCTTCTACCACATTGTGTCTAGGTGTCACCCTCTATATATTTTCTAATTTTTCTAGGACACATACATTCTTCACACCACCGCACTCTACAGGTCCACTCTACCTGTCAACAACGATCGGAGATACTTCAATGATGATCGGAAGTCCTGCTGCTCTACAGATAACCCAATCATCATATGCAGGCCACACACCGCTATTCTTTACCGATGTTGTGACAACGGTTACTACCCCTGTAACCGGAAACCCTAACCCTACCGACCTTTCTGTCATTTTGCAGCGCTTCTTGGATTCCACCATTAAGCCATGGGTGCACGAAGCAATAACCGCTTAGGCACAGGAATTCAGGACCACCCCGGCGCTTCTTAATGACATCATCCAAACTCTAACTCAACCTTCATCCTCCCATTCCCAACAGCAACTCACTCCAATCCTTACCCTATCCCATTAGACCATTTACCATGCCATTCGATGACCTAGCATCCATTATGCTAGCGAGCATTCTGGAAACCAAAGAAGCTCCACTCACTGACAAACAAAGAGCTCTTATTGTGGTACTTGAAACCTAAAGCACATGCAATGACAGTCTCCGTGGTCACAAACGTTCACATGAGGACCCTGATTATTCGGCTCCTCATGAGGGGGAGAATAAGAGGCAACGGATACTCGAGCATGGTGCTTCATCTAGCCAATAACCCCAACCTGAACCCTCAAACAACCAAGCTAAATACAAGAATTCTCTCGAGGATGCAGATTTTGAGGGGGAGTTTTCAATGTTCTCCTCCCAAGCGCCAATTATCATCAAAGGCATCCTACTGAGTGCTACAGTTGAGGGGGAGTACAAAGAGAAAAGAGCAAAGAGAAACGAGAGACAAGTCCCAATGGCTTAGTAAACCCAACTAAGCCTACCCAAGGGGCAAAGCCGAGAGGGAGTGGGTAACTGAGTGAACACTATGAGAGTGAGGATGCAGAAGGCTCATGTGAGCGAGAAAACAATAATCAATTACATGTCTGCTACCTCAATTGCGCTTTCAATTGAGAGAATTACTCCCAGTCACTCAAATAATCCGGACAATTCCCCATAGGTTCAGGACTGAATTTATTCAGATCCCGGGTAGAAGTCGCTGCATTTTGTCCAAACGGCGCATGCACAACCCTACCCTAGACCACTCACTTGTTTCCCAACAGACATGTGCTTAATCATATTTCACGGGGAACCTCATCTATTATTATTGTCTCCTTCCGAGGCAAGTGATACTGACTACAGTGGCCTCAGCCCCATGCCACTGAACTTTCATTGATCACGTCGTGTCTAGTTATCTCACTCCCAAATGTTTTGAATTTTCTAGGACACAAACACACTTTTGAGTCAGTTGCAGGTCTTCATGACCCGCGAGAACTTCCATAGGGCTCATCTACTTTAGATGTAGACCGATGATTGGAAGGAAGTCCTGCTGTTGCAACATAGAAATCACCAACATGTTCAGGCCATCGCTCTAGAGTTTATCTCTATAGTGATGATAACGGGTGTCTACGTGACTTCGGGGGGCTACCGCTTTCATTGCTGGTCTTTATGATCATGCCATAACAACCAGAGTGACATCTACTTCAGATGCTTCACAATGACAGGTTGGAAGTCCTGTTAGAACTTTATAGCTTCTATCATTTTACACAGGCCACACATCAGTGTTTACATTGATGTTGTGATAACGGAACACTATGGTGTATCCGGTTTTTATCTTTTTTTCTTTTAGTTTTTGTTATCCAGAATAAAAGAATAAAAGCATGACGTCCCGATTCATCGGATCGTCATGAGGGGGAGAATGGTCCACATGCTGTTCACTATCAACAAATCATTTTTGGACACTTCTCTCCTCCATCACAAAAATCAACAACGGCTCTCTATTCTCTCAAATCATCATAAATGCCAAGACAGCTTCAAATCAAATTGTCAGCTTTACCCAGAAGTTAACCATCTCTTTTGGGAATGCGACCGACGAGATCTCCTCAAAAGCAATCTTTTTCCGCTGTGCACCTACACAATGGAGGAGACAAAGGTCGGGTAATCAAATTTGAAGATGAATCCCATGCGCGCCTGGAAATCAACCGAACACATGCTCCAAAGGCGCCGTCGGAATTCATTCAAGCTGCTCTACAAGCAACTTCTAGAAGGCAAGGACTACAAGCAAGACTTTGAAGATTCCTCAAACCCCGACATCAAAGAACAAATTGCCAAGAAGAAATCAAAGGGGAGATTACAAGGATTTCTACAGAAAGCCTTCTCAAGAAGTCGAGCTCAAGACCAAGATAAAGGAAGCTGAGCTGCACTGAAGATCAAGACAAAAGAAGAGCAACTCAACAAATGTTATCTACGCTCTCCTCTACATTGCTGAATAAACACAAAGACAAAGATATCCGCGCAACAATGCTGAATGAACATGATTGAACACCAAGGGGGAGATTGTTAGGGATATTTTATGGTGTCCAATCCTGATAAATATCTTTGTATTTGTGTAATTATTTTGTCTAGATATTTTAGCCCATTGGGATCTTTGTTAGCTATTATTAGACTAGCTTTATTAGGAAATGTGTAAAGTGTGCTATTGGGCCCAATCAATAAAGGAGCCCAATCATGCTTAGGTCACATCACACATTCCCTAGGCATATAAATATAGCCTTTAAGGGAATGTGCGAAGAGGCTTTTGACAGATTATTCACGCGCATATTATTTTAGTCTAGAGAGAGCCGCAACCTTTGTTTCTCGATACCCATATTCTGAAGTTCGAAATCCTTATTTGGTATTGAATCAAAGCTGTTTTCTGCTCTATTCTATATTGTTAGTTTGATTGTTGAATGAAACAGGGACAAACAAACATTCCTGTGCATAATCACGTATTCTTTTAAATTGCTCCTCAAATTTTGCATTTATTGATTTCAGCACTTCATTAATTGCTCTGCCAACCATCCAAACACTGACATTTGTTTTTAGTGTGTCTTCAATGTGTTTCTTCAGTTCCATGTGGCCTATAGTGGGATTGTCACTAATCTTTGACTCATACTTTTCTTGTATCCACTTCTGACTTACAACCCGCAAATGGAACCTCTGATTGCATCTATGTTTAGACACCAATGTCTTAATCTGAAAACAGCCCAAGCTTCTTTCCCAGGATGTCGAACACTCAAAGAGACAATTTTTTTCACATTTGAATCTAACCCTCATTGGCTCATTTTTTACAAATCGTATGTTTCTTTTCTCGTGAATGGCATACCTTATCATAGCATTCTTGAATTGGTTTCCATCATCAAACAACATCCCCACATCCAATGTGGGTGGATCAGACTCAGTATTGTAGAAAGGAAAGTTGGCTTTGTCAAAGCCGTCTGCATCTTCTTGCTCATTTTCAGAGACATAATTGGGGGGTCTTCACTGTCATAGTACACACTGCCATCTTCTACATCATCACTTGAAAGATCTTCATTTTCACTGCCTTGACCACCCTCACCCCTTTCTGTATTTCTGAACTGACTGATGTGTGAAGTGTCTTCTGTGTCTTTATCATCAGCATCCTTTAGGTCTTCATCCCCTGGATCAACTTGAACATCACCACCCCTTCCTTCTGAGTATTCATTATTAGCATGAACATTTCCCGCCATCGGTGTGTCTTCACATACATTGTCACATGCTACACCAACTTCATCAATCGGATTACACCTGTGTTGTACATCTTCCATCCCTGCGCCTTTACTCGCACCAACACATGGCAACTCTAAATGAATGAAAGCATCATCTAACCCGTGTTCCACATAGATTTCAACTTCGCCCCATTTTGAGACTTCTTCAATTAAAACAACCGTACTGTAATCATCACTCAAGAGCCGTAATTGGTCCATGCCCTCATGACACAACTTATAGTAAAGATCCACAATATTTGAATATCTATCCTTTTTAATATACTTAATCAGGTGAGGGTATGAAATGTTGTCCGGGTCAACTTCTATTTTTTCGAAATCACCATTAACATACCTAATTTTATGATCTCGCACAAAATTACCCCCATGGTGAATATGCAGATACACTTGAGCCAACATTGTGTAGGAATCCACAACCTAATTCAATCAAACACATATTAATTCATCAAATACATTGTACGCACAACCCTATCAAAATTTAAATGAGGAAATACATATCTGAGTAACTGGTAATCACGGAGGGAGTATTATTAACCCCCTCTCGTGGTGCATTCTCTTCCATAGTTAAACCCACTTAACATTTGTGAAAAAGAAAGAAATGTTTTTACATAACTACATAAGGTTCCTTACTGTTTCATTTTCATCTTTGAAGCTCAATGAGGGACATACCCATTATTTATAGGCTATAGCCTAAATTGAGAAACTAGTCATAATTTTTCCTATTAGAAAAAGTATTTTTTTTCTTTTGTTAGTCATTTTTATAAATGTTATAAAGATATTTGAAAGATATTGAAACACTAAACATTATAAATTTTAGCCAAAGAACGGATTGAGGATAAACTCTATATCTATGGTAGTTCAGGTTGTAATTTTTATTTTAAGTTACATATATCCTCACTCCAGTTCATGTGAATACACACTATCCATAAAAAATGGGAATTTTCTCTAACTCAATACTATTCAGTACCGGTTTACCACATATGTTCAGTTGATAATGAAGTTAACAGAAATTAAATTATACTCCCCTGTGTACAAGAGATAAATTTACTGGATCAGAAGCGAAAGCCAAATGGATGAGGAGGAGTTATCATTGGTAATCACCAAGAATCAAACCTGGCCTACGCGAATGCTTGGGCACGATGTCGAAGCAAGCATCAACAGTAGGTCTCCATTCCGATTTAGGGTTAGGGTTCCATGGTTTGAAAATTTCAAACGAAAGGGCTCTGCTCGATGTATATTGTTTAAAGGAGTCAATTCTATGCTTTGAAGTGTATTGTTCCAACTTCCAAGGGTTAGCATTCCTACTCAGCATCCATCTAAACTTTTTTTCCCATGTTGGATCCACGTCGGATATTATTTTAAGCTTGCCCGTTAGGGACGGGAACGAACCGGTAAAGAGGGGCTAATTGAATCATTTTTACAGGTTGGAGTGTTTAGTTGTAGTGTCAACCGGTTCCAGGGCTTAATAATTGCAAAATATCAACTAGTTCAGGGCTTATTTGTCCCTTTTCTCTATTGTTTAATCTTTGTTAGTCCAAGTTATAAGATCAAGCTATGTATTCTAGAAATATCGTTAATGGAAGACCAAGTCATAAAACATTCCTTTTGTTAAAAACCAAACTACTTGAAAATCTGATATCTTTAAAAAAGAATTCCATATTGAAGAACCCTCGAAGATTCAAAGAATGAAACTTTACAAATTTGAAGACCCGAAGAATGAAACTTCGAGAATTTGAAGATCTGAATAATGAAAATTTAAGGACTCAAAGATCCGCAAATTAAGATTTGAAGATTCAAAGATGTCAAGAATGAAAATTTGAAAATTTAAAGATTTCCGAAAAGTCAAAGATTTGAAAAAACATTCAAATAAAAGATTTAATTTTAAAATTAAATTCTTTTATTATATTTCATTTAATTACAAGTGGATAATAAGAGAATCATATTTAGAGACCGTTTGATAACAACTTTTTTTTTACTTATCAGGCTTATTATCCATTTTCACCAAACATGTAATTTTTGATTATGCACGCTGAATAGTGTATTAATAAGGGAAAAAAAGGTTAACGTTATTTTTCTGACTGTATTGGCTTAAATTTTTATCAGTTTAGTTATTTTTCATATTTTTTTATTATTTATTAATAAAATATATTTTAAACCCAATTTTTATATAAATTATTAGAATCAACCAATTCAGTTAATTCAGTCAGAACTTTACCAGTTTTATCATCAGCCGATTTTGATATAATCAACCGGATTGTTAAAGGTGGGGGAGGGCATAACGGGTTGATTTAACCGAACCGTATCAAACCGAACTAAGTCGAACCGAAACCGGTCCGTATGCAATTTAATTGGTTTGAGCTTGATACTATTTCTTCGAAACCGTATTATTGGGTATTAAACCGAACCGAAACCGATAAAAATCGAACAAACCGAACTAAAGAAATTCAAAAAAAAAAAACTTCATACATTTTTAAAAATTAACAAATTCAAACCGAACCAAACTGAACTAAACTGAACCGAAGAATAGTATGATTTTTGTTTGGTAATAATTTTTCCAACCTGTTCCAAACCGAATCGAACTGAAACCGATAAAACCGAACCGGAAACCGATATGTCCAACGCTAGATAGATATTGAAACACATATTCATTACTAGTGTTATGACGCGCGTTGCGCGATGGGAAAATGCCCAATTTTATTTCAAAGCAATTAGATAACGATGTATTTATATTAGATTTGATTTGTACAAGTAAAAAGGAAACTGTGGTAGGTGTGTGAGAACATCGACTACATTGGCTGATGATTCGGTTGAAATTTATGCATTTCCAACTAAAGTGACTGAATTGGCTGATTTTGCTGATTTATGAAAAAATGATACACTTAAAATATATTTTATTAATTAAATAAAGAAAAACTATATGAAAAATAGCAAAAAAACATCATATACAGTCATTTCAGCCCATATATTCAGAAAAGTAACTTTAACCTTACTTTTTTCTTATTATTACACAATTCAGCGCGTGAAATCAAAAGTCACATGGTTAATGAAAAGGCAGACTAATAAGCTTGATAAGCCGAAAATTAAGATCACCAAACTGGCTCTTAGACTTTAGTTCCGAGAAATATTTCTATGTCTTGTAATAAAGTTTGAGAAAACATGTTGATCTAAGAAATTTATCGGCTAGTCGGTGATCCTAGTATATAAAGTGTGTACAAACCTTACACGTCGGTATTGCGAGCGTATGTGGCATATCAAGAAAGAAATGCACGACATAATAGTAAAAATGAGATAAAAATTAATTTAAATATGAAAGCTTGAGATTTTGAATTCACACTTGTGTATGAAATAAAGTAACTAAAGGTAACTAAATAAAACATACATTGTGAAATAAGGCATACGAAAAAATGGCATATTTCACATAATAGAGAAATGTTAATTACTACAATATTTATTCTATACAATAAAACCCTCTCTTTTTTCTGTTCATTCATGCATTCGTATTCTTTGTTTTTTAGTTTGTAATAAAGTTAAATTTACGTTAACATAGCATGCGATCCGTTTTAAATTTCCAATGCAAGTATTGGTGGCAGCTTCTAATAGGTATACGTATGTATTATTTCTCTTAGTTGAGTGGTGGAGTTGAGGGCAGATGAACACCGACTGTCAAGTGTCATAATTTGGGTTTTTTGGGAGTATTTTGGTGGACAGTGGACTATCCTTTTTACATTTCATTCTTTTTATCAGAATTATTCTTTCTTATAAGCTACTCCGTATTACAACTTACAAATGACGCATCAAATACAAAGGTATAATTAATACTCGGTATACAAACTGAAGGATTGGTTTTTAACGGAAGGTCACGGAAGAAAAGTAGAGAAAAATATATGGTATAATAATGAGAGCACAATGTACAAGAGTATGTTGCTTTGTGTTACACCAACATATTTAATATGCCAAAAACACCCTAACCTTCATTGGTGTTTATAATATTTTAGAAATATTTGATTCACATATTCAGTTTGCTTCCACTCCAATTAACATCATTTTAAATCTCGAAATAACTGAAACCAAACCACAACAAATGGAATCAAATCTCAATTCCTAGTTCTAAAAGACAAAAGTCAAAAAACAGAACTAAAGTGCTAAATCTCAATATTCAGTTTCGACTTTCGACCTTGGAGTACAAAATGACCGAATAAACTCACCTCACCCCGCAGTAAATACCTCGATAACCAGTGAATAGAATAAAAACGAAGGGTCATAGGTAAACGGAAAAATAGTCTGTAAGCAAGAGGAAGGGCCACCTCTTAAATTTTCTCCTTCTCTCACCCCACGCTTTAAATCTATTCTGACCGTTGCACTCTCTCAACCTCAATAGCAGAGTTTGTGAATCAACATAGCTGATCTTCTGCCTTCACTGGGGAGTTTCGCATTTTCGTCACCAATAAGCAAAGTACCCACTTCTTGCTCTTTTCTTATTCCTTACGAATCAGCAGTGTTTCGTTTGCAGTATCACTCAGTCTTCTGTATGCTTTTGTTTGATGAAATTAACATGCCCATTTCTCCGTATGATTTGGGTTGTTGAAATTATGCACCTCTCTTCTTATTGATTTTTATGTGGGATTATACGTAGTAGTTCTTAGTAAATTGTGCACCTTTCAATTATCTGAAACACAAAATATTTCCGGGTTTAGGTGCCAAATGCTTGTGTGTATGCTTACAAGATAATTTGGTGTTTTTTCTATCTAATACATGTATTACTTACGCATACTTTATTCTTGTGGTCTTGTGGATTATATATCCATTTCGAATTTTGAATGTCCCGTTTTTGGTTGCAGGACTTTTTATTGATAAGTATTCCATCTCTGGAAGCTTTGTAAGTATTTTCTATCCACAATCTTACTTCAAGTTTTCATCTTTAATACTATGGTTAATACAGTTTAATTTGATGCAGGATATTACATTGAATCTTCTCTTATAGTTTAAACATTGGAAATTTTGGAGATTCAAGGGAACCAAACTCCAATAACAAGCGTAGAACGTCTGTTTTTTGTAAGTGTATAGTGTTGAATGATTTAATTTGGGAATTTGAATTTCTGGAATTCTTTTCTTTTCTCAAGCAGTTACAAATTTGGTGAGTTCAAGGAACTAATTTGAGCCCCCATAATTTCTAGGTTGTGAAGAGTGGGAGAGGTAGAAAAAACAGTAAAAAATGGGATGTAATACATCCAAGGTGGATAGTCAAGAAGCCGTCCAGCTTTGTAAAAATAGGAAGATGTTCATTGAACAAGCAGTGGAATATAGATCACGGTTTGCTTCTGGTCACATTGCTTATATTGAGTCTATGAGGAGAGTCTCTTCTGCTCTTCGAGATTATGTTGATGTAGAAGGGTATAATGAGTTCTTGGTTGATGCATTCACAACCGCAACCTTTGCACCAGTGAACAAATTAAACTCGGGCTTCATCTCCATATCATCCAAATCCTTCAACCTGAAAGCATTGCAGTCTGGAAAAAGTTCTGCTTTGAAAGTTAATTACTGCAAGTCCAGTGGGAGTCCATCTGTTACCGTGGAGGAGAAACCTCAATCACCTGAAACGCTCAGACTTAAGGCTTATTCCCCTGTCCATCAGTATGGAATGGATAGCTTCTTTGCCATGCAATCTGTGCCGATTAGTTCTTCATTTTGTCATTCCTCTCCCAACAACAGGCCCAATTTCTCCTTGTGTTCACCCCAAAGTACCCAGTGGGATTCGTTCTGGGATCCATTTTCTTCACTTGATTACTATGGTTATCCCGTGACAAGTAGTCTTGACCAGACCATTTTGGGTGGAGATATTGGGTTAAGCAATGTTCGAAAGGAAGAAAGCATCCCTGGTGTAGTCGAACATACTGGCTGTCTGGAAAATTCAAAAGAAAAGACTGAAGTCCTTAAAAGCTGTGATAAAGAAGTTGTGGTTGAAGATGTTAATGATCATGACAGTGAGTGTGATAAAATTGATTCCAGCCACATAGCCCAAGATTTGCAACCCAATGAGAATAATAATACACCAGTGTCAAGTACCCAGAATCATGGCCAACCCAGTTTCCAACAGACCACACTGGCTGATTGTGAAGCAAAGAAGCACGTTCCAGAGTTTACCGTATATCTCAAAACAGGACCAACAACTATGGAAGAAGCTATTAAGGATCTTGATGCACAGTTTAGAATTGCTTGTAATGCGGCTGAAGCGGTGTCAGTTATGTTGGAGGCTACCAAGCCTTGTGATTCA